AGAAAAGGCAGCTGTTACATGCTCCCCATAGCGTAACTGGCCTTAAAAATTCTAGGCATAAAAATTTCTTCACTTGTCCAAGTTAAGCTAGGAAGCATAAGGCCAGGTTGCTTTTGCTGGGATTACTTGATAGGCAACTCTTTTCACTTCTCAAGAAAAGCAATTAATTTATATGTATGTATGCTACCAATTTTTGATTGTCATTATGTAATAGCATTAATATGTTTGAATAGCGAAGCTCATTTAATTGCAATGCAGGTTTTAATTTTGATGTTGTTTTCGATAGTACATTGTTCAGATAAAAATGTTGCTTGCAATTGACCAAAATACGTCGCTTTAAGATGACTTTTAGAAGAAGTAAGCTGATGTTAATGTTTGGTCTAGTGCTTGAATTTCCTTTTGTATTTCATGAAGCTAGACAATTGCATGGAAAGCATTAGAAACATCTCCTCAGAGGTGTAGCAGACTGGCTCACAGAAAATGTAGATTTAAACTTTATCTTCATCATTTTTATTTTTATTGTTTTCAGTAGTAGTTGGCCATAAGAAGTAGTTGTTGGGATCTCTAGTGCTCTTGATTTCTTTACATCATATTAATAGGAACAAGGGGTAGTTTTGTGCTTTCTATCACAGCATCGTGCTGTGATGAAGAACATAGTGTGACTGGTAAATGGTGTGACCCTCACCACATTAATCTGGTACTCATACTTCAAGGGATATAGATAGTGTAGGAGCAATGATGTGTTTTTATTTTGAACAAGAAAAACCTTTGAAATTACTGTTGACAAATAGACATTGGCTGAAGTAGGTAATTAGGTGGTATGTCACTAGTTGTAAAGCATCATGATAACGTAACGCAAAGCTACAGTATAGCGATGACTATTTTTAAAGCAGACGGGAAGCGGGGATGTTGATTGGACATAAACTGATTAAGAAGCCGTCTTGGAATTGGTTGTTCCGGCCATCCTTGTTGTCCTATCATGAAAGGAGGAAAGTTCAGTAATGGTTTAACTACAATTAAATCCCTCCTCTTTCTTTATGGAAACTCAACTGTAGGCATTTCAGCATTAGCCTAAACAATGGTTTTGAATATGTTAAGCCCCTAACAATTAGGGAGCAGTTTGGGGCATTGAATAATGTGGAATGATGCAATTGAACCTGACAGCTTCAACAGTCAGCCTACTCATGGGACCCGAAAGTTGTTCACACTTGGTTTCATCTCTCATCACACGCTGAGTATTAAAACCTTACTGGTGTGGAGCTGAGACAGAAATGAGGCCTGTTATCAGAAATTTTTTCATAGCATAAAACTTGAAAGGAACAGGGGAATAGGCATGCTCAAAGGTTCTCAAATTTTTGAGACCTAATGTAATTGTATACAGCTAAGTATTGTCTCATTGTTCTCCCCCTTTTTTCTTTTTTTGCTTGAAGAACGTGTAACTTTTGAAATGAAGAAACTGTTTTCCCTGGAAATTTAAGTAGGTGTCCAGTTATGGATGCAAATAGTTGTCAACTTGGGCAACTTTATTGTCATACTGTTACAGTAAAATACCATTTGGGAGGGCTGCAAACAAATATAAAACTATTAAAATATTTCAGAGGATATTTATATATATGAGTTAAATTTAGTTAACTTGCAAATCTAGTTCTTTAATTAGAAGAATATACTTGCCCTTTCTTTCTTGCTGTAGAGGAAGTGTTTATAAGCATCAATCAAATATCAGTCATTTATTCTTATTGCACTCGGGCCTTCCGTGAATTACAGTGTATCTTCCTTCGGTGCTGCTCTGCTGCTTATTGCTTTACTGATTTATTGAACATGCCATAAGTGAAAGCAGTGCATTATATACCTCTAGATGGGCTTAAATCCGTCTGCTAAAATATTTTCAGGAAAATCTGCTGCCTTTTCAAAATAGTTAGTAGTCTCTTTATTTTATTAGTTCATGCATTTGGATCGTGTATTGTGTTGACTGTTTAAAATTAGTTGAATTAAAGAACTGTAGCTTTAAAAGTTCTGCATTTTAGAACATGTTTCAGTCCTGTGACCTTAATATGTATTGACAGGATGATTGCACATTTTTAATAAATGCTTGCTACAGCTTGTTTCGACTGTGAGTGAAACATGAAGCTCCTATTTCACCTTTAAATAATGTAACACTCCTCCACCTCCTCTACTTTCCTGTCAGATGAAGTCGTCACATACCTAATAAAGCTTCACAAATCGTTATTCTTGTCATTTTACATTGCCATTTAAACAAAAGGATTTTAAAAGTTTTTTTACTTACTTCCAGCTTCCTTGATCAATTTTATTAGTACGACTTTCCTTTGAGAGTTGCGTAGGATACACGATGGCACTAGAACTTTGTAGTTCCAACTTGTTGTAGGACACCTTTACTATTATTTTAAAGTATAAACAGGGGCTAAGTTTAGGGTGAACCACCACTTGTGAAAAAACTCAAGTTCTTAGATATTGTTTAAATCAGGCTAAGTCTTTTGATCTGTTATATCAGCCCACTTAGCAAACATTGTTTAATTCCTTTGATGTCTTTTGTGTTGTGATGGGACGGTTACTCAACAGAGTTTAGCTACTCCTTTCAACATACTTAGATACTTTTAGAAAGTTCTTAAAGCTCTTTGGGCATGTTTCAGTCAAATAAACATGTATTCTCCTTGCTGATTATAGCTGCCGTGTCACCATAAATTAATACAGTTGCTGTTGCACAGTTTTAAGCAGCTTTGCAGTGAATTGATCAGAGTGAGAGTAAGTATAGCAGCTTCTGTGTAAAATGTGAGCAGTATGCTTACTAGAATTAAGAGAAATCTTTTACAGAAATATTCTAAACCTAAACAGAAATAAGGCCCGGTATTAGTAGTTTGTTTGTTTTAAAAAAAACCCCACAAACTATATTAGTAAAATTCATAACCTTAGACAATTTATTTAAATAAAGTATATCTAGGTTTTTACTTTGCTAGTCTTGTCTGTTAGACATGGAAGCAAATAATGGTTGAATCTTGCAGTATTCCATACTGTAAGGTTGCTTCAATGAAAGGATTTGACAAAAACCTACATTGTTTTTGAAGTTTGTTTTGTTTTTGAGAGGACAGCAGCTGCAAGTTGCCAGTGAATGGTAATAGTTGAGTTGGAATCACACTATAGGCGTTTATTAAGGAAAATAGCAGGAGCTGTGCAGTATTGCCGCCTTCATCAGTAAGTGTCACAGTACTAGTATGTACTGCATTTCTGGAAGCTGTTATACCTGGGTAGGTGGAAATGCCTGCATTATTTTTAAGACTTACAACTAATTCAGATTAATTCCACTAAAGACATTAAACATTTTTTTTTTAAAAAAAAGAACAGCCAGATTTGAAATGAAACTGTCGTTCTGTGTCTAGCAATCTTGCACATACCTTTAAACTGAAAAGTGAAAAACCCCTGATCATTCTAAGTAATTACTTGTGGCTTTTTCTAACTTTGTGACAGTAGAAGAATGTAAGTATCAGGCACAATTTCTCACCAGTATATAGTAAACAAAGCATCATTGAAAACAGTTGTGTGAATTCATAAAAGTCATTCATCAAGTTTAATATGTTGGCTGAAAGCCAAAACTTAATGGTAGTGTGTGATTCTTTCCAGAGACATAGTTTATACTCTGTAATATTTGCTGTAATAACCAGTATGTTTGCCCCGTCTCTTGTGTGCAGTTATACATGTCAAAATGTCCCACAAATTGAGTTCCTTACTGTGCACCTTCTTTTTTTGTTTGTCAAAGTTTCCTTTGTAAAGGTTGTTTACGTTGTCTTTAAAGAATAATTTTTAAATCGGTGATCACGCAGGCTGTGTATCTTTGACTCTTTGACCCCCCACCCCCCCCCCACCCCCCCCCATATTGCATTCTTTTCTTTGTTCTGAAATCATTTTTTTTATCAGGTAGGAAAATGCATTTTTAATAAGCAGCCATGCCTTTTTTTCTTTGATTGCCTGTCTCTGCAACTCAGCATTTGACACAAATCTTTTCTTCAAAAGGGAAAAGGCATAAGCAGCCAAGGAAGAAGGTATTTTTATTGCATTGGATTATGCAAGATTTTGGCCAGCCTCCTTAGCTTCATCTGTTTAAGGGTTCATTTTCACTTGTTTGGCACAAGTCCCAGCAGAGACCTTCAGAATTGTGGTTAGCAACATGAATGAACACAAACTTTGGGAGCTCTTCAATAAGTCGAGCTGGCCAACTGCCAAAAATACAGTTCCTTATATGGGGTCAGGGCAAAGCTGTGATTCGGTGAGCCCCCTATTGTATAGAAAACATACTTGTAATGGCTGTTTGTGTTCTTTAAAATAAAACAAAACAAAACAAAAAAACACCAGGCTTCCCAAGTCTATCAAAATAGTAAGTAACAAAATAGTGTGCAGGTTTTACTAATGACGGAGCCGAGCAATGGAAATATGGCTCTGTGTAGTTAAACTATAGAGCTGCAAGTTGGACCTTTTGACCTCCACAGCCGGCTCGTGATGTAAGGAACCCGAGCATTTGTGAGACATCTGTTGTCTACCTGCCCTTATTTTGTAAATGGTTTAATAAGATTAAATAATTAGTAGGATAACCACATGGTCGCCGTGCTACTAAGTCCTAGCATGGAGTGCATACTTCAGGACTTCAAGGAAGTCTACCCATCCTGCTACACTGTGGTTGTTTTAAAATGCTATTTAGGTATTTTTAATATTGGCTACAGGAATTTTTTATTAGAAGGTTTTTTAATTAACATATCTTGCCAACGACAAGTAAAGCACGCTGTAAAATCTGACGTATTTTCAAAGTACTGCAATTCTATTTCTGTACTCACAAATGGAAAATAACTTTTTAATTTTAAATACATGCAGTTTTAAAAAAACATTCAACTCAAAAAATGAACAATTGTTCATTAGGAAGGCTTCTTTAAAATATATTTAGCATTTCTGCCCCCTTTTGAAAAAACAGGATTCAAGTTTTGATCGGTTTCTTGCAGGCAAACACCCTACCTGGATCTTCTCTCAGTCTGCCTCCGTCCCACATGTACGGCAATAGGCTGAATCCAAACTCAGCAATGGCTGCGCTTATAGCTCAGTCTGAGAACAGCCAAGCAGGTAAGTTTCCCGCTGCTGGTGACAAATCTAACACTTGCCAGACTCGAGGATTTTTAAAAAGATTGCTAAATTTTGTTCTTGAACTCTGCTCAGCATTTGTTCATTAAATGTCCGTAGAAAGTTGTTGTGGATTGGAAGTAAATTCTCAGTTGTTCTGCAGAACAGCACGGGTTTTCTTCCTGAGTTGTTTTTTTTTTTTTCCTTTTTAGTGTTCCTGTGATTTCTGTGATTGATGTGTTCAGTTCGGGGCTCTTTGCAACGAGAGTAACACAGCTCTGGGTTTTGTCGTGAATAGTTTAAACCTTGATTTGCATAATTCATGAAATTGCATTACATACAACTTCGTGTGAAAGAAGTCCCGTTAGAGAACTTCTGCAGCATTTAATAATCTTGTGAATATTTACCGATTGGCATTTTGTCCCGTTGGCTCTCCTCCGCAGTTTTAATGAGCCGCTGCCTTGGCTTTGTTTCCTTCCCCCCGCAAGGATTTGTTGACATGTCGCGGTAGTCATGCCTCTTTGGGGGAAGGGAAGGAGTTTAGCAGTTTACCAAGAATGGATCAGTCATGTCTTTGCCCTCCGAGAGGTCGGAGGTCGCTTGACTCAGAATAGGGGGAGGGCAACCTTGAAGGGGGCAGATAGGGTTATTTTATTGAGAGGCCATAGGGAAAATAACCCTTTTGAGTCCTTCCGAGCAAAACGTTTTCGTATATTTAATGAGGCCTTTTTTGTTTGTTTTACTACCTTTTTAGCAAGGGACTTTCCTATGCTTCTGCTTATAAATAGGAATTAGTGAATTATACGCTTTCATAAAGTTTTCAGTAAATCTGCAAAATAATGTGTGCTTGTTAGATGGCAGCGGTAAGTTTAATACGTTCTATATTTTATGAGTTGTTTTGGGATGCAAAGTGTTAAAAAAAACACAGAGCATCAGGATTTGCTGTGATAAGCATACAGATTAGCTGTCCACAGCTGTGATTCATTACTTTCACCGCAGAAATTAAAAGTGGCTGAGGGGAGGGTACTGCAAATCCAAACCACGCTTCTGTGCTGTAAAACTGAAAGGAATGAAAGAAGTGAACATAATCCACGGCCTGGTACAGCCTCAGAAATGTGTAAGGACAACACCTTACATGCTACAGTTCAGCAATCTTAAACTAGTTACGTATTCACTCTCCAGCAGTCACTGCAGATAGAAGTTGAGATTTAAGGTATTTTTAAAATATCTACATCAGCTTTGAAATTCTTATCTAAGAAGAGTCGATTTATCAGCTGTGAAATATTTACACTACAGATCAAGATCTCGGAGATAATAGCCGAAGCCTTGTTGGCAGAGGAGGTTCACCCAGAGGAAGTCTCTCACCACGGTAAGCGTTATTTACATTGGAGAGTGCAGGCAGAGGAAATGTTTTAAGATTTGGAAACTTCACTGTCTTTTTAGTAGTAATACATAAGTGTTTTAAAAGCCTTGCTTTGTGTATATGCACACACACATGTATACATGCATTTATTTCTGTATAGATATTTCTGTCTAAAAAAAAGACAGAAATTAAATGATAGATTTTATCTATCATTTAATCCACACGTACTACTTACCTCCTCAGATTTCTTACTAGCATCAGATTTTTAGTCATATTTGAAAAAATTCCAAAATCCCATAAAGACTACAATAATCACAGGAATAAGGTGGTCTGAGAAGTTAAATATCAGTAACAATTTCAAACAAATACTTTCTTCCCTTTCCCTCAACACTTCAAAATACGTGACAATTCTCTGTGGAGAAAAGCAGTACATTTTTGTTGTGCTACAATTTACCTCTACTACAGAAGCTTGGCGTAAGAATTCTGCTAGAATTGTATCACATTGTTTTGTTTTAAAATGCTTGCTGTTAAGATTTCGATATTGCATTTTAAATACTTCAGCAACATTTTCTGTGTATTTTGAGTGAATCTTTGTTTTTAAAGGGCTTTATTTTTCGTACTGGTTCCCATATGAGTAAGATTTTATAGCATTATTACAGTATTTTTGTACTTCGGCACTAACCATGGGAATTTTATCTTGAAAAGGATGTTAAGATAGCTAAAAAATAGTAGCTACACAGATACAGCATTGTAGCAATGAATTTGATCGTTACAGCATGTGTTTATTACAGTAAATAAATGTATCCAAATTAGATAATTTAATGCACATGCCTGGTGTTGTTGATCTTGTATTATATTCCTTAATTAAGCAAAAGACTTGTTGTCGAATGGGGCGAGAATATCCATTATAATAGTTAGGTGGTATTACCTAGTCATGAACTGGCTTTTAAACTTTCCAGTATGTGTTACTGCTAAAACAATAGAAAATTTACAAATTAGTTCTCAGTATAAATACATATATTTACATTAGCATATAAATCTTTATATAAATAAGGAACATGTGTGTATATATACAGACAAATTGAGAGAGTTTTGCAAAGGGAAATGCTCAACCGTTAGGAAATTCCAGAACTTTTGATTTTACATTCAGTCATTTTCTTATGCATATGTGTTGTGGTAATTGCAAGTTTTAATGCCGCCTTAGTTAATCTGCAAAGAGCTGGTCTTCGTACAGCTTGCAGTAGACCATAGTTGTGTTCAGGCTGGTTTAACATAGAATATTTGGGAAGCTAAACTTCTTAAATATGATGCTTGTATGGAGTGTATGCTCAGGGTATGTATAGCCTAGCGCTTACAACATGGACAAATCTCAGCTAGTTTCGATGGGGATGGCAAAGGCCAGCTCAGTTCACAGCTGCAGAGCTTCCCTCAGCATATGGAAGCTATATCACTTCATAAAGAGCAGATAGCTTTTGCTTGGCAGTAGTTGTTCAGAAACAAGCTGGGGGGGGGGGGTAGAAATGACTGATGTAGTTCCAAAATTGAAAGATGGAAAAACTTAGTGTGAAATACCTGACATGGAAAAAATGTAGAGAACTTACCCATTCCATTAAGTCCAGTAGTCAGTAAATTGCATCCCTGATTTGTGCAGTAAGAAAGATCACATGTATGTCAATGTTTCTAAAGTGTGTAGGTACTTCCTCACCTTCCCCAGTTAAGTAAGCAAGTAACTCTGATTGCTTAAAATACGATTTGTAGTGAATAAAAAGCTAACTTCAAAAATCTGCTATCTGAAAACTTTGCAACTCTGAATGTTACCTGCTTTATTAAAATTATTTTTCTGCAAGTTCTGACTCTCTTCCCTTTGAAGCTTATGAGATTCATAAATCACACACTTCTCCAAAAGAACCATGTAATTTTCAAATAGTTGCTTAAAATAAAAACACTTGCAGAAACAATTGCTTGCGTTTGATGACGCAGCTGATTGCAGCTCTTTAGAGAAGACGTGTGTGACTCCTGAGCTGTATGGTCATTTCAGATTCATATTGTTATTTTTTTGTACCCCTATATAACCACAGTGTTTGATGTTTAAGCTGTTATATTTAAAATGCTAATATATATGAGAAATAAATATACCTGGTATGTGTGAGCTGTTTCCGTTTCACAAAGGAATTGCTGCTTTTCCCAAGGTAGTGCTTAAACTTTTTTTACCCCATACTTAACCTTAGATTTAAAAATGTGTTCTGTAATACCTTCAATACCTGCATTGAAATATCTGTGTGTGCCTATATCTAAATGCAGTATTGCTTATATTAAAACTATAAGAGTATTAATAACTATACCCCAAACTTAAACAAAAAACGGTTGTGAAACTAAGCAAGGTATACAACCTGAAACATGGGATTCCCATCTTAGTGATGGCATCTGACTTGCGCATATGGTGTATTCATAATACTGTTGGAAGCTATGATCAAATACTATTTGAAATAAGGATTCAGCCCTAGTATGTGGGAACCGTATCATGTCTAATGGATGAGGTAGGGGTTCAGCTGCAAGAGGATGCATTGACTAATGTTGCAATACATGGAAATCTAGTTTTTATTTTTTTCTCCTTCTGTACAGGCCTCCAGTGAGGGATTGCAGAGGTTATACAGTCACGTGTTGCTTCGTTTCTACCTTTGTGAAATTGATAGGAAACAGTCCTAAGCCCAGCAAGAATTTTGTTGATGATTTATAATTCAAATGGCACAATCTGTTGTTAGTGTCATGCGCCCTTCAATAGCATGTATACAGAGACAGAAGTTGCTGGGGGGGGTTGTGTGGTGGTTTTCTGTATTTGTTTTCTCATTGTGTTTTGGGTTTTTTTTTAAGTACATTTTTTGTGTGGAGTATGGTACATCTGCTCAGAATGTTTCCACATAAACTTTCCTTTTTATCACTTCAGCACATCGTGTAAACAACTAGTTTTAAGGCTGTTTTTGCCATGTCTGTGCTGAACTGTTAATGCTGTTGAGTTGTCATCTCTTGTCAAAAAACGCTACCTTGGTTACCCATTCATCAGGGCTTTTTGTTTTAACAAGTGTTTTTCTTCTTTCATCCTGTATGCAAAAGAGGAATCATTTATACTTACGGAGCTCTGAAGTCATCTACTTAAAACCTTTTCTCGTAAAAATCGCTTTGCTCTGGTGCCTACAAAATGCTTGACAGTCATTAGGTAGCTAATGTACTGTGACCGCTGCTTATTACGCTAATCATAATTAACACACTGATTTCCTGAGCCCTGTATGTTGTCCTGTACTGGGACTGTGGTGGTCTTGTTGGTAAGTTTGCACTACATGTAGAACAGTATGGCTCTCATCCTGTGATGGCACCAGTAGTTATTACTTACAGTAATAACTAAATAATAACATATGAGAATGTGAATCTGAGCTCCCTGGAGTTGATTTTAAAGAAAACAGCCACAAAACAAACAAATGCAAAGGCCAAGCAAGTTTTAATGGGCTTTGGTGTTGATCCTGTATGATGAATGGGACCGTGCATACATGAGACCAGAATCCTGAGTCGGAAACACACTGAGCATCTGGTTTTGCTCACAGGTTAAATTTTGCCCATCCAGTGCAAAAGAAGCCTGCTCATAGGACCTGAGGGGTATCCAGCTTTCCTAGGGGCTGTGTGATGAATATTTAATTTTCTCCGGAATGAGAAAAGACGTGGCAAAGGCATTATTCTTTGAACTATGTGTCATCATGAGTAAGAAAGGAAGTATATTGAGTGTGCACAGGACAGGCAGAGGATAACTGTAACTTTCATTGTGTCCCTTGTGAAATAATATTTTCACATAGTCCCTCAAAAATCAGGTTTTTCATTAGTTGTTTTAGAACAAGCTAGGCAGTGGAATTATGTATGGGCTTTTTGTGTGGAAGTACCATTACTATGCTGATTTTAATAAATTGTTTTTATTTTCCCAGTTTTCTCTGGGAAAGGTTTGATTTTTTTGTTTGTTTGTTATTGTAGAAGACGGGTGCTCTGTGTATCCATATGCAGTGGCTTTCTGCTGTAGAAGTATGTGTTGTATAATTTAATACAATGCTGTTTGTCAGGTAGGTATTATGTTAGTCTGTATGCAAGAAGAGGTTATATGCTTTCTCGGTATAAATTCTCATGCTGTGAAATATGAAATCTTTTGTTTATTAAGGCCTTGGCAGTGAGAACCAGGAGTTCTTAGGGATTTTGATGAATTAGCTTAGTCCTGGAAGTGTAAGATCGTATGTGCTTGGGGCTGATAGAAGGCAAGAAACTTCAACAGCCTTTTACTAATACATTTCCTTCCATCCTTTTCTTTAAACAATAAATTGCAATATTTTCAACAGATCTCCCGTAAGCAGCTTGCAGATTCGCTATGATCAATCAGGGAACAGCTGTGGTGAAAATTTGCCCCCAGTAGCAGCCAGCATAGAACAGCTTCTGGAGAGGCAGTGGAGTGAAGGACAACAGTTTTTATTAGAGCAAGGCACCCCTAGTGACAGTAAGTACTCGCATTCTGCTTATTGCTGCTTTTGTTAACTGTTATTCAGAACTGCCAGGCAGTGCTTGTCCAAGAATTTAAAAAAAAAACTTATTTTCTGCTGTGAATAGAAATATAACTGTGGTGTGTAATTGTAACGTAGTTCTTAATGCAGCACATGGCTTCAGTAGATTACAAAAGAGTTCTCTATAATTATCTACATTTTTATGGATGGGGAAATTATGTCATGCGAGAGGAAGTGACTTGCAGACCCAGCTGGTCCGTTGCAGCATTTGGAAATGAATTCTGGACTCTTAGATCCACTACTGTAAATAGTATAGCACAGTTCCCCAGTTTGCTTTATATTGTATGATATAAGTTGGCATCATAATTTTCTGTTTTTATATTTTTCATTTTTTAATTCTAAAGTGTCTAATTCTGTTGCTGTCTTAAAAAAATACTTACAAATGTTAGGCAAGCGTCCTACTGTGCTTTCATATCTTTATTATGTTCTGCGTTTCTTGTGAAATTCTCAAAGCAAGCAAATTATTGAATAGTACAAGAATGAATATGTTAAAAGCATAAGTGATGAGTAGATCACTTGCATCTCCATATTCAACAATATATCAGTATCAAAGACAATGATTGATTACATTTTTTAAAAAAATCTTTTAATACCAGGCTAGGGTTTGTGTTATATTTTATTGAACATACTATTCTTCTCATTGGTAGGGTAAAATAGTATCTAGTTGGTATTTTTATGAATGGTATCCTGACAAAAATGCTAATTGTGAGGAAATTCATGCAGGGATAATCCTTTAAACATGATAGCTGGAGGACAGGTTTAGCTAAGTCTTATTGCATCTCATTTGGGCTCACTGAGGGTTCCTTTGTATGTTCTTGAAGAGGAGGGATAAAAGCTAAATCCTTGGGAAATGACCAGATGTGCCTACACCAGTAGACTTACGTCTGTAGTAGGCCCAGAGGTCATGTTAAACAAATACAATTTAGAATTTAAAAAAAAATGGCTATCCCTGTGGCTTTACAGTCACACTCTAGTACTAGTCGGGAAATCCAAGTTCTGAAACCAGCGTGGAGTTTGAGAAAACTGTGCTTGGTAAAAATCAGGTTCGCACAGATGATGATGCCCTTTTCCTGGAAAAAAAGGGGTGGTAACTGCAGTGCTCATACAGTGCTCCCTGCTGGGTGATTTGTAGATCGCCGCTCGCCCCAAATGAGAGCTCCTGCTCCCAGCAAGGTGTGTCACGGTAACTTCACGCTGGATGACATTTTTTTCATTGTTTCTGTAAGTTTGTGATTCACTATACGGGGCATTAAGGCAAAACAACTCCCTTTTCACCAACTTGCTGCTTTTTTACGTAGATGTTGTTGGTTGCCTGTATTTTTTAGTTGAATGCACATTTGTCAAACTTTTTCTGTTTTGATAACGTTTAAAATTTCTAATACTGCAACTGAAATAGATTTTTCCCAACTATGCAATAACCTGTGCTACTAAACTAATACCATTTTTACATTGTGGTCTGGGGATAAGTTATTATGTATTGCTGTTTGCTTAAAATGAATGTCAGCCCTAATGATGCAACTTTATCTGTATTTAAGCTGTGGTGTAGATATACTGCAAAATTACTATCAGATGCTACGTACTTTTTTCTGCACTTCAAATTACACAGAATTGATCCTAAACCTTTCCACTTAAATTTCTGTAATGTATCTCAGTAATAATTTTATTTATATTTTCACATATAAATGCTAGTCTTAAATTGTAATATAGAAATTAAAAAAAAAGATTATGTTATTCATTCTTTGAATGTGGCTGTGAAAGATAACATAGGAATTTCCACCTTTAGTTTTAGGAATGCTGAAATCATTACACCAACTTCAGGTTGAAAATAGGCGGTTAGAAGAACAGATAAAGAATCTGACTGCTAAGAAGGAGCGGCTTCAGCTACTCAACGCACAGCTTTCGGTGCCGTTTCCAACAATAACATCAAATCCTAGCCCTTCTCATCAAGTACATGCCTTTCCTGTACAAGCAGGTAAGCAGAGGAGAGTATTAAAGTGTCAAAGTAGTTTGTACATGGATTTATATGAAATATCTGTTTCATCCACATATGCCATTGATGGGAGATGCATATACATGCAGGATGAATATAGGCAAAGTATTTGTTGGTGTGTTTAAACGTTTAAAAATCAAATGGAAGATTTATATGAACCATTACTACTTGTTTCAGTGCAGTTTCTTCTTCAGTCTGGAGCACATGTGTTTGAATCTATTGATTCACCAATTATTTAGTTAATACTTTACTACTCAGCAATGACTTTAAGGTAGACTTTACATTTTCTATGTTTACCTTTGACATTATTTTGAAATAATTACTCTGAATCTTTTTACATGTTATAGAAATTTAACCACTGTGTGTTTTTTTAAATAATTACTTTAGCACCTAGCACCGATTCCTTGAGCAGCAGTAAAAGCCCTCATCTGGGAAACAGTTTTTTGCCGGACAATTCTCTTCCTGTATTAAATCAGGTAATTTTTATTTGTTCCTTCTAAACTTAAACCTGTTGCAAGTTAACTCATCATAGTCCTTGCATTGTGCTGTTAGGTGAAATTTTATGCAGCTGAGGGGGTTTTGTTGTTTGTTTTTACACCAGGAGATAACCTCCAGCGGACAAAGCACCAGCAGTTCATCAGCTCTTTCCACTCCACCGCCTGCTGGGCAGAGTCCAGCTCAGCAAGGCTCAGGAGTCACCGGAGTTCAACAGGTCAATGGTGTGACAGTGGGGGCACTAGCTAGTGGTATGCAGACTGTAACCTCCACCATTCCTGCAGTGCCTGGTGTGGGTGGAATAATTGGAGCGCTGCCAGCCAGCCAGCTGGCAATCAATGGAATTGTAGGGGCTTTAAATGGGGTAATTCAGACCCCAGCAACAATATCGCAGAACCCTTCCCCTCTCGCTCACGCAGCCGTGCCACCCAGTGCAACGCATCCGCTGCCAACCACCTTAAATAACAGGTAAGAATTTGCGGATTTTATGTTTTTCCTCATAGTGCCTGCTGTTCTTCAGTTTAGGTGTATTTTTTAACTGTCTTGTTCAAAAGGTACTGTTTCTGCCTTAGCCTGTAATTGTCAAACTAGGTTCTGCTCCGGATCTGTGAATGAGAGTGAGGCAGCATTTAATGAAAGCACGAGTAGTCACGTTAAAGAAAAGGTGTTTTCTCTTTAGCTTTTGGGAGTCCCAGTGTCCGTTTAATCCTCTTTTTTCAATCAAGGCACATTCCCAAACAAACGTCATTATGTAAGTGTGCTTCAGCTCTTTTTTTAATTCAGAAAACAATATTCTTTGTCTTGCCAATTGTTCGTCCAGGATTAAGAGAATACTGGAAAAGCTACCATTTGTTGCAGTAAGAGGCGGGGGAAGGGGGAGGCGGAGAACAGTATACGGTCATCTAATTAAAGATGTAATAGGCGTAACTAACCAGAGTAGTAATGCAGTTGCATGGTGTTTTCCGTTCTCTTCATCTGACTCCAAAACCAACTAAATTAGTTTTTCCAGTGGTGTTCCTATGGATTTCTAAATGCATCAAAAGATGATGAAAAGCTGCAGCGTTCGTTAAGAGCCCTTCCCCAAACCCAGGTATCCTCGGTAGCATAAACTGCTGCTGCTTGAGCTGCAAGGCAGATGGGTAACGAAAGGAGACAGCTGCCTTCCAGGAGGGGGAATGGACTGCTCGGTCTGGAAGTATTTTGGGATAGAGCAGAGTCTGGGCTAACACATTCTCCCCGCTCCCCTTCCCCCCACCCCTGTGTTGTCTTTCCCTCAGGAAGGAGAGCTGTAAGTTCTATGTAGAAAGAAATGCCTGCACACAGGGAGTGGATTATTTGTCTTTAAGTAGAGTTTATTTTTGGAGATTATGGTGGATTACTCACCAAAAAGGTGTATGTGATTGAAATGATGCAAGGGACCCCCTGGTTTTGTAGCCGCTTTTCCCAGTTTCTTTCCTCCCTGTTCATTTGGCAGCTCCTGAATGTTCGTGTACAGTATCGTCGTGTGGTGTTGCTTCAGTAGGCTCGTAAAACCTGAGACTTCCAAATGTATCCTGTGGTTTTGATCTGCTGTTATATTTTTCCTGAAGTTATATTTTTCATAGTTTGTATCATGTTTGAACATAACATTTCATAGGTTAAACAAAAGTGATTTCGTTAATGAAAAGTTATCTTCTTTACTGAGTATCAGAGGTCTGCTGAAAACACAAGAATTTTGAGTTAGCTTCCCAAAATTGTGAGGAGGAGTCAGAAATACTAGACAAAATGAATAATATTAACCGGCTGTATAATGCTTTCCACTTTTAGGTAATGCCAAAATATACTGGTCATGCCGTTGTTTTCTCATATGAGTTTGTTAATACGCAGATTATTTATTTCTGACTGTTTATATTGTTTTTTTGTCTCTTTTTTATATCCATCTTAACTGCTGTAACTCTTGAGTGTGTAGCCTAGTAAGACTACTCCATTTCACGCAGAATACTGCAGTTAGTATCCTGTTCATTAGCTCTCATTCTAACTTTTAGCACAGTCTGGAATAGTCCAGTGATTCCCTATTTTCTGCTACAACAGGCTTTTGGTGTACAACTCTGTCAGCATTTCCATTTCTCTGTTTCTCTTCTTGCATGATCTCTTTCTGCACTGCTCCCTCAATAATACTAACTTAAAATTAATATTAATTTTAAATTTAAAATTTATTTTAAATATAAAAATACAGTTTTCACACAATCCTCTGCTTTATTGAGCTCATCCAGATGATTTGCTGAGCCCACTTTCTTTTGAGGTGTTTCACAATTGTCCCCATTGTCTGTGAGTTTTCAGTATTTCTCATTGTACATTTAGAGGACAAAAGTTGAGGCCAAGCAAACACTAACGCTAATCAGTGTTAATATGATTTCAGCAATGACATGTACATTCCTTATTCCAGTTTCTTCTATTACAAATGCTTCTGTGGAAAACAGGAAAAAACTTTTATAAAAGTTACTGGAATTAAATTGTGAAGAGGCTCTGGGATGATTTGAATATTGAAAAAAAAATGTAAAAGCAGTTTCCACTGGTTGAGGTAATTGTTTTGAAACTACATGGGGGACTGTCTGTTCTTGCCACTCTTGAGTTCAGTGCTATTTCAGTCGCAGCTAGGTGACTATTTCTTTAACGGTAAATTCCCCTGGGTATCACTCCTCTTCGAACTGCTAAGTGGGAGGGTTAAACTGTCGCAAGCACAGGCAGGCATGGAGGTTTGCTACCACGCTATGGTGAGCTCTCCAAACCTGGCTGGATCGCATGGCGGTGATCAAGTTTGGAGCTGGCTTAAATCAGTATTCCCAAGATGATCGGAAGTCACGTGAGAATTCAGCCCTACTTTCTAGCTTTTTTGGTAATGTTCTATAATTAAAAGATTGCCCAGATGTTCCTGTAAGTTGCTGCTTACAGGAACTTCCCAAGCTTCAGAATCTGTTCGGACAGTTTCATGTGAAAAATGTTATTTGCCAATACACGAAGACTTCTTTACGCATGTTTTTTTTACTCACATGAGCTCTTTAGCTGTGGGACCTAGGGAGGTGAGAAAGCACTGATCTGCACAGCGCTGTTAGAGAGAGTTTCAAATGGCAGGTAAAAGAGCCTACATTCATTCAACAGAGAAATATACTTGATCCTTTTCTGGGAAAAAGATGGCTTAATACAGATTGCTGGCAACTGGGAGATGAAGTGATTTGAGGAAAAAGATAGGATTGTGTCTTCACATTCTCGCAACCAGAGAAGACTGTAGGATGGAGAGCTTCAGACTGATCATATACCTTTTAATGAGAAGCTGAAAAGGATTAAATTTATATTCCGAGCTGACGTGGTTTAGAGAAAGCTCTGTGGTGAAATCCAGTGAACTGCCTCTTCTGGGAAGCTCGGGAGCTGCAGCATTCTGTCTTCTGCAGTTAGGTTTTGTTTCTAGAAATTTCGACCTCAGCTACTGCCTGAGGGTATTTTCTTGTGTGCCAGTGTAGAGTAAGAGTGGAGGACAGAGTGGATAAAGAGGAGGGAGAACAACAGCGGAAAAAAGAAGTGCAAAGGTGAAATATGATACAGAAAAAAAGAAAGAATGGGATAAAAGAATGAAAAATCAGTGGAGAAGATTCATTGTGGTATAGAGGGTTCTTCATTCCACTGTAGAAGAATACAGAAAAAGTGAAGTAAAAAGAGAAGGATATAATGGTAGCATTAGTCAAACTGAAGGTACTTTTTTTTTTTTTACAGTTGTTACAGCTATTTTAGATACAATTGAGTTTAAAGCTGTTTGAAGGAATTTTAATTAACTGATGAGTGTCATCGTTTGAAAGTCAAACATACACACAGTTCTAGCTTATGTTAGGCCCGAGTTTTGCTGTTGTAGCTCGGGAGGAAAGTCTAGGTGTTTCCTTGGATAGGTGAAGTGTCATCTCTGCTTTCATCAACAGTCAAACAAACATTGCTAGCAGTTACTGGGGAGTAAACAGAATGGTGTTATCCATTTTGTGTTCTGTCACGTTAAATCCCTGGTGTGTGTGCACCTAGAGTACTATGTGCAGTTCTGATTATGCAGGTTCAGAAAAGGATATAATACAAGGAAAAAAAAAACTGCAGCAAGAAGCAAAACTGCAGCAAGAGGCAAAATGTCTTTCACAGGCTAAGGTCAGCAGAATTGACTTCTTGGCCAGGGAAAAAGGCCATTGACAAGAGGTTTGAGAACCAGGAGAGTGGTAAAAATGACAGTAATGATGATGTGAAGTAGATGATGGGAAATAAGAAGCGCAGCCTGGCACATGTTTCCCGTAGCATTGAGGCCATCCAGCGAAGTATGAAACAAAGTCTGGTGTTGCTTGCCCTGTCCCAGCAGCAGAGAATGGTGATGCTGTGGGCATTTTCACACTGGCTGGTTAATACAAAGTAAATGTCCAAGTGATCACAGAGCTGGGCTGCAGTATGCTAGCTGCTGTAGAAAGGCAAGATAAACATTGTGTCCTGAAGAGCTGATTGCAGCCTAACTGTGTGGATTTGTGGTTGATTTAAGTTAATTCCTTACTACCAATCACAACTAGCAGTCCTGTCATTCTGTTGGTCATCCTAAGCACGCCTGCTTACTGGCACTGGTGCTTGTGCATTCACACAGTAGCTTCATCGCCATGAACAGATAAGCTTTCGGTGTGTTTTGCATTGGCTTAGGTTTCAGCTCCATTCCCACAAGATGCATCTCATTGTGCAAGAACTTGTACAAGGGGAGGGGACAGAAACGCGCAGCTGAAAGGGAAATACTTCACCTTTCAATAGCAGTGTAAACCTATCGTGAAACTACACCTTAGTAATTCAGTGGGTGTTTTAAACTGGTAAAAGCTAACACTGATACCGAAAGAGTAAATCCAGCTGTCTTTCTGGTCTTCTGTTCCAAAACCACCCTTGTTCACACTGTTGGTCTTGCAGTGAACTGGCATAGCTGAAGAAACCCTTGCTTTCCAGACCAGTTGTCAGCTGGATCCGTTCCCTGCCCAATTTCCTAAATAGCTGCAAAAATGTTACATAGGCATGAAAATAGGGACTGGGAGCTAAGCAGTGGGCAGGGACAGCGGCAGCCTGCTTCGCTCCATGGCAGCGTCAGTTGGCCCACTTCAAGGCTGAACGGGTTTGCTAAAGTACAGACAAGGCATAGGCAATAGTGATAGATCTGAATATCGCAAAAGATGGTAATTAGAAGGAAACCAAGGCAAATAAATGCTAGTTAACTAAGTATTAAAAGTTGGTAACATCTGTCTTATATTATAAAATCTGTCCTTTCTTGATAAAGTATTTGAAAAAAATGTAGAAATTGTAATTATCTGAGTTTAAAATAATACATAGCAGACATGTTACAGGCAAGATGTTGCTGTTGCTCAGCATAAATGAGACTGAGGGTGGTGGTGATAATGTCCAGGTATGTATAAAAAAAAGCAGCTGGCCAGACAGACTTTAATATTTGACAGTATGCAGTAAGAATGCTAAATGGGAACTGTCTATTTATATACATCTTTGTTTCAATGGAAAGCTGAAGTAAAAAGTTCCCATGCTTTCAGATAAACTTACAATATTGCCCTGTCAAACCCTACAGTGCCTCGGGACTAGGATTACTTCCTGACCAACAGAGACAACTTCTACTCCATCAACAACACCAGCAATTTCAGCAATTACTGAGTACCCAGCAACTCACATCAGTAGGTTTTCCAGTTAATTATTATTTATTCTTCTGTTGTATTCCAAGGCATGGATAAACTCCTCAGCCTAATACAAATTCTAGAAATATGTTTAACTTGATACTACAGGTTCTGATGATCTTTTAGTTTCTCAGTTGCTTCAGCCTTTTTGGATGATAGCTGTGCTAAATTACAGGACAGTGTTGAGCCACGTGTATTGCTGCTAGTGCCTTCAGTCCCATTTTGTCCTGTGTGGACATGGTGGCCTGTCTCTCTTGGCACCAGCTGTGGGCAGCAGAGTTTGGGACCTTGTATGGATTCTAAGAATATCCTAAGCTATTCCCTGGTTCCATTAGGACTCTACCAAAAGATTTTTGGGAATCATCTCGTGAGCTGTCTTTGCAGGATTCATACAGGCCATCAGGTAACTGGTTTGACTATTTGTATTGTTGGTTGGGTAGTTTCAGTACTTCGACAAACATGGTTTGAGACTCTTCTTGTGTATGTTGCTTCTGGTAGAGGTGTGATGAAGCCAGCGGGCTTAGCTGAACTTCTGCTGAGCTGCTGGTTTCAGGACATTATAGGCACTTTCTTCCCTTTCCCACAGTCTTGTGGGAACTTCATTAGTGGAACCTGAATTAGTTTGGATTAGGTTAAGGGTTGCACTGACTAAAGATCTGGTAAGCAAAAAAGCCAGGAGGAGCTATGTTTCAGTAACTAATTATTGATTTTTTTGGTGTTTTTTTCTCCTCTCCTCATATTACTCAAGGAACAACATCAGGCCCTTTTGTATCAATTAGTACAGCAACAACATCACCACCACCAACACCATCAGTCTGAAGTCCAGCAACTGCAGATTACGGGAGGCGCGCAGATACCCATAAACAACTTACTTTCGGGCACGCAGGCCTCGCCACTTAACGCAGCTACTACCAACCCATTCCTTACAATTCATGCAGATAACGCAGCTCAGAAGGTGACAGTAAGTATATTTCTCACCTTGTTTTCAATGAAGTATCTCCATGAGGTAACTAAATGATAAGCAGCAAGTTATGTGCCTGTATTCACTACTCAAGGATGGTGGAGTTTTTCTTTTTTATTTTTTCTTAAGCCTTGGGCTGCAGTTAATGAGGTTCAGAACGCAGAGGACTTGTAGTCACTTACACCTAACCTGTCTGTTGCACGCTCCTGCTTCCCCGGATCAGGACTCCAACCTAGCGAACCGTGCCTTCCCTTCCTCTTGTAAAACTGACACCCTAGTCCTCCTCACCCCGATTCTTCCTCAACTTTGTGTCTGCTATTTTGTAGATTCTTCCTTTTCTCAACTTACTTGAAGAGTTTTTCTTGGCCAGGCCTCAGGCACTGCGGAGCAGCAGAGATTAGTTGATGACTTGAAAGATGAGGAGCTCGTTACTGGGAAGGTTTAATACGTATTTGGAGAACGGGCTATGTGTATCTTGGTTCTGGCATGGGAGGGTGAAGCTGTACCCTGGCAGCCTGAGCAACTCGTCCTTTGCTTGCTGTAGTAATAAAACCTTTCCTGGACAGACAAGAAAGCAAGACACATCTTTTTCTGGCAAAGATGTTCTGTTGTCTTCAGCACTTCTCCATGACCTCCATCCTCAAGACAGGAATTGTTTCTTTATTTCTCTTCAAGGAGTCAGAGAATTGACTTTATTCTCTAAGGGTCATGCAATTAAGAGAAGATGAAGGGAAGGAGCGTGTGGAATTGTAAAAACAAAGGATGAGAGGAACAGGAAGACAAAGTTCCAGTATTCCTTCAAGAAGACATCAAGTGGCAGGGGCAGTGGAAAAAAGGGAAGGTTGTCTGCAACAGCAGGTGGGAGGAGTCTGGGGCTAGGTATTGTGCCCTCTCATCCCCCACCCCCACAGCCTCCAGCCTCTTTAGGGGTTCAGTGGTGGAGAAGGGCTCAGCAGCTGCGCTCTCGTGGCAGCCACGTCCCAAACATAAGGCGAGACACAAAACATAAATGATGAATTTTCCAGAGTTTTCCTGGAAACAGCTCCCTTCTGCTCAGAAATACAAGCGTTTACTTTTATTAAGCTTTCTGCATGGTTGTTGTCACTTCCCAGTTTGGTTTGCTGTGATGTTGCTGCCGTACTGCAAGCTGCAGGACTCCAGTAAGATCACGTTTTTTCCCAGTCACTGACTGTCAGAGCAGAAGCACTCTGCCACAGGGGTCTGCTCAATGCCTTGCCTCCGTGTAGAAATGTTCACTGTTTGTTCTAGTATGTTGAAAATCTACATCCCCGGATTTTCTGCAAATTAGTGGTGAAGAGATTTGAGACCCTGTATTTATTTTTCATCAGAACAAACTATTTCATTTGTGAACTGCCTATTTTGAAATGGCTATTACTAGGTTTGGACAGCGTGACTGGGCGGCACTGGGCTAATTTACAAATATGTTGTTACAATTTTAGCTTTCATTTTGATAACAGTTAGCAGTAAACAATTCCAGGAAATCTCAGAACATCTTCCAAACAACCACCTTAGAAATAAATTTATTTTGAAATTGCTTTTATTTTTTCTAATAAAGGTAGAACTGAGGCAGATTGCATTGCGTCGTTGAACTATTTTAATCCAAAAAGAATTTTTAACAAATTCTTTATTAGCCAAGAGTTTGAATGTTTTCATCTCATTTCCAGATGGAACAGGTTTTCAAGCATGTCTGAATGCTCAGTGAATGAAGTGAGGTTTTTGTGCTCAGTCTTGTTCAACACTTGCAGGAAATGTCTTCACAGCATTTTATGAAGGAAAGATAACTGTGATGGGGGCAAAATGGAAACTGTATTTCTGTTCTGATGGAGAAGGGTAGATTTTACCCCTGTCATGGGTAATATGTCGCAGAGGTCACCTGGTATTGGTCTTCAGCATCGTGTGGTTCTGAGGAGAGACCAACAGTCAAGAACAGCAAGTCTTATTGGAACGAAAGCAGAAGCAGAATTGGTGTTCTGTAATGCTAACCGTGATGGCCTTGGTACGAGTTCCTTCCATATGGTGCTTACTCCTTTAATTATTCTTTCCTTTCCCACTTTCTGGTCTACAATACATGGTTATTCTTTACAATGCAAAAGTTACTATTAAAGTTGCTCTAGTAAACATACCTCATCTGCTTTGTCATTTGTATGAATTTAATTTTACTTTACTCTGTATTTTATAATCTGATTTTTAGAAGTATTTTCTCCTACACAGAGGCTCAACGATAAAACTGGACCAGTTGCGTCAGAGAAGAGTTGACATTTGAATGATACTTGAGAACTGCATGCCCTGCTGTTATAGCACTTCACCAGCCTGCGAACTGCGGTTTTCCTTCCTGCAGATTGAAGAATGCAACAAGGAACTCTTACTGCACAGCAAAAGGTTAATAATTTTCATAAGGATATTTTTGGTAGGCTTTCATTTGCTTTCTTGTTGCACTAAAATGGATGTACTTTTTAATATTTCAGACTGTGAAGTAGATAAAACTCTGCAAACCATAATTACGTTGTCAATATCATGGTACCAAGTACAAATTTAATCATAGAAAAACATATCCTTGGCTCTTCAGTCCTGATCTTACACATTTAAAGGGTAGTGAACCGTCCGCAGTCGTGCGTTACTTTGGGTTCAGAGCAGGAGTTTTAAAGACCCAACCACCCCAACCCTGGCCAGTCTGCTCTGCTGCTGTGGCTGCGATACGTCCTCTTAGGCTGAGCTTGTAATGGCAGCCTGGACTTGCCGGTTGTTGTTTCTTTTTTACACACCCGTTTTGAAACCTGACTCATAAGGGAATCCACTTCTGAACTTTTTATTCCTCTAAATTCCTGTTGTTGTGTAGTGGGAGTTTTTCCTGAGTAACAATTACAGTATGGAATCCAAAGTTTATTAATTTTGGTGTAGGTTTTAGAGTTCTGAGGTTTTTAAAGGAACCGGTTTGGTTCCAGTGACAAAGTTTTCTTACCAGATGAGAAGGCCACGCTGGAAGAAGTATGTGTCGTGTCTGGCCTAAAGCAAGTGCCTGTTGCTACCTCCGTTTTGTCGAAATGGCTGCAGACAGCTGACCACGCACTAGACGAGTCCTTGTTAGCAGCGGGAATATTCTGTGTTGCACCAGCAGCCTTGTTGTTCTGCCTTTACTAGAGGTGTTTATACCACTGTAGATAGCTCAGGCAGATGTTACCTGGGTCATTTTTCACTAATAAATTACCAAAAAAGCGAGTCAATATTTCCCACTCAAATTTACCAGTGGTTGAAACGGGTGAACTGGTGTTACAGCACTTCCAACAGTAGCTGATGTCATGGTGTGCACTGATGCAGTGTGGTGAAGGATCGTTTAAATGGGGGTAATGACCACTAATCAACATTGAGGTGGGAATTATTAGAGGAAAAGACCCAGCTGTAATTAGACCTCCACTGTGTACTTATTTGGAAGAACATGTTAATTCTGCAATATGTTTCTTAGTTAAACATTGCACAGTTCTTACCTCATTTCTGTAAATAAAGTTTTGTGAATCTGTTTTGTATTGTGAAGAATTCATAAGAAAACATTGATATTTTGATTTGTAATATTTCTAATTAGTAGATTTAATTGAAAAAGTAAAAATAATTTATTTTTATATGTTCTGGGGAATTTTTTAAAAATGTCACAAATCACTTTTGTAGATACTTTACAAAAGTAAACCAGTGGTTTATTTTACTTACTCAACCCGCTGGTGGATATTCTGTAACAATTTGTACAAAAGGTAAGATGGAAATGTGCTGTTATTTTGCCTAGATGTAAAATTCCAAGTGTATGAAAAGATATGTACAAAGCTTTTGTTAATAAACTTTAATAATGTTTATCGTTGTGTACTGCTTCTGTGAACGTGAGTCTTGGAGAAGAAGGGAGTATTTCTGTTGACATCGCAGCAGGCGGGAGGTCAGCTGCACATGGCCACTACAATTTCTTACAACAAATTTTAAACACATTTCTCCTGTAAGATTTTGCTTTCACGGGACACGGAGGCAGCTGCAATACTGCCCAGGGAGGTGCTTGCTTACGGGGTCCCGTTGCAGCCCTGTGCTGCAGCCTGATGTCCGAGGTTTTTGCTTTCATCCTTCAAAGAGGAATTACTGTGCGACTGCAGGCGGCGGAGTGAGCCCTTGCTCTGATGGCCCCCGTTCATTTTGAAGTAACGTGGTGAGCGCTCTGTGGAGATGGGACGGGTTCTTTACCTGCACAGTGCCTGTGCTGAGGTGATCGAGGCCTTTGGCTGGTGCTGTAATTTCTGTATTTTCTGTAAAACCAGCTCCCTTCTTTTTTCCAGGAATTTTGCTTACAGTCCATGGAGGGGTCGATACACACCCGGCTGCACTCCTGGGCTTTTATTTCCGGGGCAACAAGGAGGAACCTGACCCTTCCTGTCCTGTCACTTGAAGATAAAACGTGAGGGGTGTGGCAGCTCAGGTTTTGGCAGATGAGGGGTGCGTTAGGGCTTCCTCCTGTTTTTAGCCCCTTGCAAGTCAGACGCAGCCTCAGGACTGTGGAACAGCAGCAGCAGGAAGACGGTGCTGGCACAGGCCTGTGCCATTTGTATCTTGCTCCGTCTGCTCAGGTCCCCAGGACTGAATATTTTTATTTTCAAACGGAGAAAACGGGAGTCCTGAAAGCAGGCAGATAAACGAGCAAGCTCAGAACCCCCAGGCCTAGAGAGGTTTCCCTACGCTCTAGGGGCAGCTGGCAAGTGTTTGGTGCCCGAGGGCGAGGAGGCGCAGCAGGCTTGTTGACCAGAAGGCAGGCCTCCTGATGAAACCACCTAGGTGAGCTCTACAACTGGTGCCATCTTTCTTCTGGCTTTGTTGGACACTGAGTACGCGTTGTCACTGCTAAGAATGGAGAGTATATAGCACCTACACGCTGGGCCACTGGATGTCCTACTGCTTGACCTGTACATGAGGGGGAAGAAATGCCCAGTATGCCCACCAGCATAGGGACTCCCGACTGTTCCTCCTGCTGGAGTTGTGGACTGGAGGGTTGCATTACTGCTGCTTTATTCATGGACCTAAGATGAATCCAAAAACTTTACCTGGTAGACCAGAAGTATTGGTAAGTCATCTTGTGCCTACTGGAGCAGCACCATAGAAACCAGTATAAGTGGCAAGTCCTGCTTTCATGACGTTCCTGTTTCAATTATTTGAGAGGGCCTGGCTCAACTCTGGTATCAGGCACCTGGTAAGACGCAGAGAAGCATGAAAGGGGCAAAGCTGGAAATACAAGTGAGATTGTCAAATTCAAGACATTCTTAAAATCTCAGCTTGTTCGAGATTGGTGCCAGAAGCCCAAGACAGCAATGGGTGTTTCACAGTACGCACAGTCCTGATGGACCAGCGATCAACAACAGGGAAATAATGAAAAGGACAGTTCTGACATCCCAACAGAAATCCAATTCACTAGAAAGAGACCACATCAAAGCCAAGTTCACGTGAGGGCCAGATGCAGTCAAACCCAACCTTGTTTCAATGATTTTGCAGATCCTGACATCAAAGATGATGGTCTGTGGCTGATCTGGCACCAGTTCAGCAGCAGCCGATACTGCCGTCCCCGTGGAATGCCTCTGATGCCAAAGCAGTCCGCGCCGCTGCGCAGGTCCCTGGCAGCCATGTTGTGGGTTACCGAGCTGCCCTTGGCTGTGCTGGGATCCATTCTGGGTCCAGGGCCACGAGAGCAGCACAGACTAAACGGGCTGTGTTTCAGGAGAGCTTCACGTGAGTAGGCTTTAGAACTTTCTGCCGTTTATTTTTTTTTCACCAAAATACAGCTTTATTGACAATGATGATAAACAGACCTTATGGCTTACAGGAGCCAACCAATTCTGGACAGCCGATGACATCTCAAATCCTGGTTTCATCAACTGTATCCATTCAAGCTGTGGCAGCAGGAACTGCTCTCGGCAGTGTGACTGTGTGCCCTTCAACTGAGTGAGCTGCTGCCGCCTGTTTCTCATAAGCTGCACTAAAATCTCACTGTTGGTTGAGCCTAAAGGAGAGCTCTTTTGAAGTCAAACACTGTGTTTCTGTTGCTTTCAGGCTCTGTCATCTCATGAAGAGGTCACATTGCAAAGTCTTCCCTGAAACAAACAGGGTTTTTTTTCATTAGTTCATACAGTGCTGGCTGTAAAGTTGAGAATAATATAGTCCAAACATTTACAGCTACAGGACACTGCAGAACAGCATCTGCTCATCTTTGAGAGTGCACCAACCTAAATCAGAGCACTATGAACTTTCACAGCATCTCAGTCCTACTCTGCTCCTTCCCTTGTGTGTTGTTGTCAGGCTGTGACTTCACTGGATCCGGCTGCTTTAGCTTGGCCTCTGGACTGCATCCTCGGCGTGGTGTAGTTACGCTGCACGCCCGTCTCACGTGCCCCACCCGCCCTTCCCGTGGCATCTTGCTTATCCCATCAGCAGGGACACGCTCAGAACAGACGCAGCTCCAACTCGTTTAGGTGCGAGTAACACTGAAAGCTTTTCATGCACAAAGGTACAGAGCAAACGGCACTTTGAGCTACAGCTCACAACCATCCAGGAAAGAAAATACTTTGCTAGCAGGCACATATTAATGTTACTTGAAAATCTGCATCCCATGCTAGAACCGAAGTTGGAAGAAGTTGCTTAGCTCCCAAGCCTAGAGTGACCTCGATTTTCATGCACTGGAAGTTGTATAAAAACAGTAGCTTTGGTGGTGCATCCCAGAACCGCGAGAAAGCAAACCCTGGCCATGCTTCCAGCGATGGGCTGCAGTGTGCCGCTTCTCTAGAGAGCACCCTGTCTCACCTCAGTAGTCACAGCCACTGCCAAAAGGGCCTGTGGGTCTCACCATGCCACAACCCCAGCAACCCTGGGAAAGGACACTGAGAGGGCCTGTAGAGCTTGGCCACCAGCCCCATTGCCCTCCTCCCACAGCCAAACACAGCAGCTAAAGCTTAGCCTGGGCCAACTCCTCTGGCCTTTGAGGACCAGCACATGAGGTAAGACCGGATGGGGCCTGCACAAAGGTTATGCTACCTGAAGGATCTTGCTGAGACAGGTGTCTCTAAGCATGTGGTAGCAGAGATCAGATCCACTGCTGCTGGACACTGGGTCACGTTCCTCATCGCAAGACCTATGCTGCCGGTGTGAAACACCCAGTTCCCAGTGACCCACCAGTGCACTGCAAAACCCTTCCAGTTCTTGATGATGTGACAGCTGGACCTGCCACCAGGTCGTGGTGCAGTTCCACCACGGAAGAAGCCAATGCAGTTCTCATACACAGCTGGCTCACCTCTCCTTTCAGGCAGCTTGATCTTCAAGTAGTAAGGAGGCAACCAGTTCCCTTCCCGCCAGGCACGAGCAGCACCTGCGGTCAGTCACATCTATCACTTCAGGTACTCAACCTGACAAGTGTGCCACAATGACATGGACGATCTTTGCCCATCCTTAAGGATCTTCCTTTAGATAAACTGTATTTGTCAGGAGCACTGCTTTAAGTTCTTCAGCCTCAATGTTCTTACAGACCAAAAAAAAAAAAAAAAAAGTTTCTTCCCAATGAGTGGTGCTCATCCTGCTTCCTTTGACCCCGTCCCCAGAGTCGCAGGTGGCGAGAAGCTGAAGGCGGTGGGCAGGCAGTGTGTAAGTACTGCCACACGCAAAGCAGCGAGGCGGGCAAGCCCTGCGCCGGTACTCTTACACAGGTAAGGTCTTAAGGATTTCCAGTGATAAAGGTGTCAAAGTCCTCCCAAGTCCTTACTACATTTGCCACTGCATGTTTTTGCCCCAATATCCAACTAAACTATTTCTCACTCCAAAGTGAGCCCATCGTTATTCTCCGTAGCCACAACAGACACGTGACAGGTCTGTATTAATTGCATCAGGGAGACACAGTGACCACGCATGTGCAAAGCTCCTCTTTTACATACCTGAAGATTTCTCACGCTCTCTCTCTGTAGTGCAGAGCAAATGCCAACACTTCTGTCTGTCCTTCCTAGCAAATCAGGCTTTGTAGACTCTGGATCATTCGCTTTGCTCTCTTCTGGATGGTCAGCATCTTCCTTGAAGCGTGAGATACCGACCCAGGCACACCATACCAGGTGAAGTCTTGTGACTCCAGCATGGAAAGGAATGGTGACTCGGTCATCCTCACAGGCTACACTCTCCCTCTACTTGCCTTCTTTTTTGTGGAATGGCAGAACTATTCCAAGTGCCAGTCTATTTGTTCATGAACAGTACACCTCCACTTGTGGTGTTCTGCCCCAGCCCTAGCAATGCTCCACCAAGTTAATTTTCACCAATTCACCTAATGATTTTAGCAGCTTTTCTTTGTAACCATTTCAGTTGCCTTGCTGTACAGCTGCAGCTGTCTACCTTTGCGTGTTCTGGATGACCAACCCCTTTTTAAAGCTAAGATTTCCTGAAATCTCTTGAAAATACCTCCCTTGAACTCACTTCAGACTCTTCCTTCACAGGTGCTGTAGCAGCACAGAATCACTGTTTGCTCAGTTAGCCCACACAGATCATAGCACAGCTTCTGAGCGTGTTTAGTTTCCAGGGCCGTTACCCTGTGAAGTTCTCTGTGAAACAAAATTCAGATGCATTATTTTGTGTCCAGTAAAGTTGCCACAGTACCATTATTTCTGCTGACTAAGATTAGTCTTTTATATATGACCCCAAAAAAAGTTTCAGTTGGTAAAGGAACACATATGGAACACTGTTATCTTCCCTAAATACTTCTCCCTTAAAGTTTTATGGGAATGGGATGAAATTTTGTGGCATCCTGATCTGTCAGAAGCACCACAGCTGGCAAACAGTTCCTGGGAAAAATCAGCTTTGTAAATGGCACAAAGTCTGGAGGTTTTCAGCCACCAAGTTCCGATTTTTAGTTCGGATACATGATCCTCTGGTTTTTCATTTTTATTTTAAATTAAAGCTCAAAAGCTTATTAGAATCTCAGTACTCAATCAGAATTTGAGTGGTAAATATTTGTTTAAAAAAATGCAAGTCCTTAAGGTTTCTTGCAAAAACCTACAATCACTGCTCTGATTTATTGATATAATTTGCAGCCCATTAAGTACGCTTTATTCAAGCATTTTAAGCTTTGTATAAATTTTCAAAAATTATGAAAAAACAAAACAGCAAGTAAAGGAATTATAACCCTTATTATATATTCTTCAATTATAAAATCAAACTCTATTGAATCCAGGGTATACAACACCCTTGCCCCCCCGATATGAGATGAGCCCAATGATGTTAGCTTTTAAGCCCTATTCTGTACTTAAAAACTTGTCATGAAGTACCTGCCCTATATGTATCTTAATTTCTAATGAAGAAATTAAGGCCTTTAATGTTCTTACCCACTTCAACTTTACCAAATTAACAGCACTGTCAAATACCACTGAGCATGAGTCTGCAGGGTTGGTAAAAAAGGTATTATATGGCAGGTGCATATAAACATGCGTGGAAGGTAAGATTAGAAACACTCCGTATTTCAAAACACTGTCAGAATGACAAGATGGCTCGTGTAGCGACAGACAGGCTTATAAGCACATGGTCTTGGATTTACAGCTGTAAGAAAGGAAAATAGATTTTCAGTGCAGAGTTCCATTACTCTCGTGCTTGCTTAACAGTTTCAGATTAATTCTCTCTTTCAAAACAAACAGAAATTCTTTATGTTCTGTATATTCATTGGCTGTAGAGCTACCTGTTCCAGTATGCAATTAGCAGCGTGGGTTTTCCTGAAGGTCCACTAATTTTTAAGACATCGTTATCACACATCTGCAGAAGCTGCTCTCCAACACAAAAACACATCTTCATTCTTCAACACACAAAATAAGTAAGATGGTATAAGATTTATTAATATTTTCTGTTACTAAGGCACATGATGTATAGAAATACTGAGGTACAAAAATGCAGTTTCCTGCAGATGAGATTTACAACCCCATTTTGACAGATGAGCTACATCTCTTCTGCTCCGAACATTCAGCTTTTAGCCATTTTTTTCTTTTGTACCAGTTCAACAAGCAACTTGTATCTTGCTATACACTCCTCCTAAAAGGAAAAACAGAAGTGTTTATTCAAGTTTGGTGTTTTCATATTGCTGTAACTCTGTATGTGCTGCCTCACTGTAGAAGAGCCACGTTCTGGGGGTTGGGTAGGTTCTGTTGGAGATCGTTTTTATTTATTTACTTACTAAAAAGTTGCACACTGGATTTCAGACAGCAAATCGACATCTAGCCAAGAGCGGATTAGAAAAATGACTCGTAATTTATGCTTCTCAATGGATAATTTCTCTCTTCAAAGAGCACACAAACCCAAGAAACCCCGCCCGCGTTTCTGGCTCTCACACCATCTTTGGCACAAGCAAAATTCGGGCTTTCTGCAGCTACGGTGACTGAAGCAAGCAAACTACGCTATCACAGCTATTACCAAATCTAACACAGACCAACTCTATCAACAACAATGAAGGCCATTTAAAAAAGATGATACTTACAAAAAGCACATTAGATAGATTACTGAGCATTTAACGCTTGCAGATGGATTACTTGTTTTGTTTGTTCATTGAGATGGGTTGAGAAAGGCATTGTAAAAGTGTAAGCAAAGTGGCTCACCACCATTTGGTTAGTAACTTTGAATCAAAATTTGTTTTAAAACCTAATTTGTCCTGCAATTGAAGATCTGAAAGGCAGAGGAGAGGGAGGCATTTGAAATGAAACAGGAGGTATATTTCAACATTTTCTGTAATAGATCAAACGAATTAAATGAAAATATGTTTTCAATAAAAACAACAAACATGACAGTAATGCTCTTTAAGTTGATTATGTTTGGACTGACAGGCTAAAGAAAGACCTCACCCTTCTGCGTGGACTCTCAGCTCTTAAGGTAATCATAAATTGGTAGAAAATATGTTTCTTCTCAATAATACCATAGTTCAAACAAGACTAAGCATACCTTGCTTTTTCCAGGAACACATTTTGCTATTTTATCCCAGCGATCTGATGTTCCCTTCGGGTACTGCTGCAAGGCCATTTCAAGGAGTTTCTGTTGATTTTGAGTCCACAGTTCTTCCGGGGCACGGCTTTTCTCTCTTTTTCTGTTCTCATCATCACTCTCTTCCTCTTGCTCGGTGTTATCAAAATCTTTCTGGCGTCTTCCTCTGCCCTTCTCCTCCGGTACCTCTTTCATTGCTGGCAGAGGCATGTCAGGTGCTTTGGCCGTTTTCCGCCTGCGGTGTCTGGTTTCACTTGCAGTGGTCTCCTTTTGATCTGTTTGGATATCCAACTGCCCTGGGACATGATCGGAGTTCCTCTCCTCCTCCTCCTCCTCCTCCTCTTCTTCCTCCTCCCTTTCTCGCTGGGTGATTATGTGGTCTGGCAAATTCACGTTGACTTTGACATTCTTGGAATTTTGGGCCAGCGTTTTAAGCTCAGAAAGCCTAATGATACCTGTCAGGAGGATTGTTGTTACACTTCGGAAAAAATAAAACAAACCACCAACAAGCAGAGAACTGCCTGCAAATAACAGGTACCCGGAATCGTGCAGAGAGGAGAAAAAGCTCTTGTGGGTTAAGAGCTTAAGGAAAATGCTTATCCAGAAATCAAGGTATTTGTTATGAAGCATGAACTTTGCCAGTTAGGAGCTTATCAGGTATATGTGAAGTAGAAGTAAATTACCATGCCGATATAAACAAACAGAACAGCCTGAACAAATGAACAAACCCCACAATAAACTGAGTAAGAAAGCCTGGGAGGCTGTACCTGAAGGGAAACATTCCCTCAGGATACCCATCAGTTCTCCTCTTCGCTCCGAGTAAGGCAAAGCTGCAAAAACCTCGCCACAAAAGCCTCGCTGCAAAGCACACCCCGAAAGGTACCGACTGCGCTGTGTCTGCATAGCTAGAATCCAAATACGGCGCTTTATGTAAGCACCAGTGAGGACTCAGCAGCACACACCTGGTGTATATGTGACAGAATCCTTCAGCTGTTTGGCCTTCGTGGTAACCTGCACAAAAACAACAACAAAAAAGAACTATTAAAAAATTACATTATTGGGCCTATTGAAGAATTCATTAGCAGCTTACCGCAAAATGCCAACACAGAACATGCATTATGCGCAGCAAGGCTGATGTTGTTCTGCTGGCTTTGCTCATGTATGGATCCCAAACTAACACAAAGTGACTTTTTAGACTTTGTCCCTTCTAAAATATTCCTAGCTTATTTTAATAATATAAGCAATGCTACACATTTCTATTACTATCACCATAAGACATCACAGTTGATATTAAAATTTTATCTTCTTTCATTGTTAAACTCTAATTCTCTAACCTAAAAATACAACAAGGAGAGGGAGGAAAAAGGAAACAAATGAGTTATCTTCTATATATTAGTTTCTCAATACTGAACAAAAGAACAAAATAACCCCCATAGGCCCAGATGATAGAATCATAGAACCATTAAGGTTGGAAAACACCTCTAAGATCATCAAGTCCAACCATCCACCCAACACCACCATGCCTACTAAACCATGTCCTGAAGTGCCACATCGACATGTTTTTTAAACACCTCCAGGGATGGGGACTCCATCACCTCCCTGGGCAGCCTGTTCCAATGCCTGACCGCTCTTTCAGTAAAGAAATTTTTCCTAATATCCAATCTAAACCTCCCCTTATGCAACTTGAGGCCATTGCCTCTCATCCTATCGCTGGCTACCAGGGAGAAAAGACCAACACCTGCCTCACTACAACCTCCTTTCAGCTGTAGAGAGCAATAAGGTCCCCCCTCAGCCTCCTCTTCTCCATGATGAAGCATGCTAAAGGACAGGCATTCAGTCCCAAAATAAAACAGGCTGACTGCTAAAGATCAGCAAAGACACCTCCTAAGTCCTGATATTTCAGGAAAAGGAGTTTATTACTGAGAATTCAGAGGATGGAGAGCTGCCTGCTCCAGCCTCTCCATGTATACCAAAATCTGCGTCCTGGGAGAAAAGTAACACCAGATTTAGCATTTTCATTTTTACTTAAAGAAACAACCGGGCTTTCTCCCCACCCAGAACAAGGAGCTTCCCCATCTCAAATTTCCAGACCTCACTACAGACAACAAAGACAACAGGCTTCATTTAAAATTAAGATCCTTTTAATCACTTTGCATCTGTGTTATATCAAATAATCTAGAGTCCAAAACCCAAGTACCACATAAAAGCATCTTAAAATGTAGTACTCACAGAAATATACACACTTTTTAATTACTGAAAATGTTTTATGAATACCAGAGTTCGATTTCAGGTTTTTTTGAATATGAGGTCTTTGTGAAAAAGCTAGAAATTGAAATCATCTGAGCCACCCAAACCAAATAAAACTTAAACGTGAGCAGGCAGCGTGCTGATTCAGAACCAATGCTTCCTGGGAGGGGCAACCCGTCTGTCCTGCTGTTTGCACCCGGGACTTCAGGTGTTAACGTCTGCTCAGCGTAAGGCACCAGGCAGTGCGCTGCCCAGACCAAAACAAAAAAATACCTGACCTACAACATCAGAAATTCCTCCACGTGGGATCACATTTGCCCACACTACGAATCACTTAGACCTTCAGAGCCACAGCATAGACTCTGCTCTTTTACCTAAGTAACATTAATAATAACAATTACTCCCAACAATGTATGGCAGCACTAGAAAGCAAACCCACCGGGGGGGTCTCCAGCTATTTGATGGAAGAAGAAGAAAATATGAAGATTCAGGATTTTTGTTCTATGACAAGATTCATGAGTGAGCACTTCAATAGTTAAAACACACTTTGGTACCATCGGTTTCTTTCCTCCCACCCACCTTTCTGTCATGGAATTGCAGGACTTTGCCTTAAAAACAGGCAAGTGCTGGATCTCCTTAATGAAACGACTGCAGGACTTAACAAGGCAAAGGGGTCTGTTTTCTCTACAAATTAAGCCTCATTTTCTGGGATGATTAAGTTTAAATGAAAACTCTGTGAACAAAAAAAATCCCAACTCTAATTAACCAAAACCTTTATCCAGAGGTAGGCATCTGACACAGAAGACTCCAGCTTCTGCTGTTGCAGTATGATGCAGTTTTAACCCTTCAAAGAGAAACCTCCGAATACCAATCTGAAGGGGTAATTTTAGGTAGTACTAACAGTTCTGTGATCTACATGATCCTGATTTTGAAACAACAGACAGATCCTCCTTGAAACAGGTGATCCGCTAACAGAAATTGCCTGCCTTGAAGAGTTTGTAGTCTAAAATAGTACAAATTAAAATGCTTGTGTTCCATTCTCATTAGCAGAGTGTCTCCGTAGGGCCAACGCCTTAAAAGCCTGAGTGGAGGGCAATCCATTCTCCACTGCTAAACAGAACGGTTCCTTAGTGGTGCCCTGCTATGCATCTCTCAGATAGAAATTATATTATATAAAGTGGATTACAATAGATTATTTCGAAAAGAGCGAGAAAAACCTGTCATGCAAAGAAGCAGCTGGTCCTTTACAGCTTACTGCAATGATGTGGTGGATTCATTGTGAATATGACCAGGCATTATCTGTCTGTGTTCATGTATTCCAGAAAAACTGTTTCTAAACCATTTTGCTGCTTTTAAAGTACTTCTTTCAAAGACGTACAGCCTACTCATGCGGCCAAGAAGGCAGGAAAGAGAGAAAAGAAAATACTCCCTACACAAAGGAGGGCAGGATAAATTGCAGGCGAAGACAAAGCTGGGCATACCTAGTTGCTGCCTCAGTGCCAAAGTTCAGCTTTCTCTCTGCTGAGCCGCTGACGTGTTCGGAGGCCGGCAGTGACCATTTTACCTTTCAAACTGAGACTATGCATGCAACATGAACTTTGCAGTGGAAGTGGTGCCAATCAGTATGCTGGATTCAAGTTTCCTTCACAAGCCAGACACTCCCAAATTAGGTTAGTGCAGGTATCCCATAATAGAGACAAATTTTGCTGCATGTTACATCTAATTGAATTAGAATCTAAACCAGCCCTCTCCACTAGAACAGCGAAAGCTTTTGGTTTATTCAAGATCCTAATGGCATTTCACGTTTCCCCCGACACGCAGAAAGCTCAGCCTTGCCGCAGGTTATTTTGTTTTGGATAGCTTCAGCCACAGTAACTTGGCAAACCCAGATGTAGCATTTGTAGTAAGTTACTCCATTTATTACATCAGAAATTTCCAAGACTCTCTCTTTTGAAGGCATTATGACATCTGTCCATATTTTGATGGACTTTCAATTTGCACATTCACCAGGTAAGCTGGAAATAACAACTGTGTGCATGGTTTAGATATTGAAAATCTATGATTTCAAACACTGAACAAGCACATTCAGCTGACATAGGTTTCACAACTCATCAAGCTTCTTACAGCTTTACTATCATCATTTGCAGATTACATGAGAAGATTATTTATCTATTATTCTCTCTTTTTTTTTTTTTTAGTCAGCTTTGTTCTTCATACAGATGATTTTGCAAGTCCTTTTCCAGGTGCTAGGTGAAGTTCATGTTTACTCCAGCTCTTTCCACTTAAGAGTTCAGGTATCACTTATTTAGACTCAAGATTCATTTGTCCATCTGCTTCAACTGTCACTGCCGTTAAAGATGCTGACACAGGGCAAGAATCATACCATGTCAGTATTAAACTACTAAGGATTATTAGGAGTCCAACCTATGGAACATATGAAATTGTATTTCAGTTTGATCTGTTTGAGTTTAATCATTGCTCTTGCCACTCAGATTTGCTGTCCCTTCTGGTGCAAGTTCCTCCATACTTTCTGACACCCTTAATATCAATTTAAATTTCCTCTCCAGTGGTGAGTAGCGTTATCTACTAGCTAGTTCTTAGTGCAAGTTACGCAATGTAAGTTGTTCCATTGGTTTCTCTACTCAATTTCTTATCGTAACTCACTTATATTATTACTCTTTCATTAGGTAACAGATAACATACCTGGAAATACTGTTATTCAAAGCATGAAGCAGTTGTAGAATTACTCTTTCTAGTTATTATTGATGATTGTTCCTGCATAATGCCTTAAAATTACAGTTTTCATGTATGTTAAATGATTAGTTTTATCATGACTGTGAAAAGTTGTGCTAAAAGCCTGTTGTTATTGACAACAGCTTTCACCAGAGTATTAGCCAGCCTTTAAGAAATCCTGGGCCTGGGGACACCTTAAATAATTAGGCTCAAGGCTGTGAAATTGATTTAAAACAGAAGAGGGCAGATCTGGTATTTCTGCAAGTATTTGTACTGCTGAGCAGACATTTTACAGGAATCAACTTCAAATGTTGCTGCTTCTGTGCCCAAGTAGCCTAGGCATCCCTGTAGTCCACCAGGAATAACAGGAGGCACAAGTAAAGTCAGGTAATCACAGGCACAGTGAAACAGATTTTCTTAGACGAAGATCACCAAAAAAATATGCTGGATGCAAGCAATCAAATTGCTGAAGTAGAAATCAAACCATTTTACCATGGGACCTATAGAAAGAAGCCACAGGAACAGTTTGCTTCTGTATTCCTGACAATTAGTCCAGATGACACGAGTAGTTCCTACTCAACAAGACACCTAGCAGTAAAAACATTTCTCATCGTGACCATCCAGATGTTCCATCTCTCATTACTCCAGACACCTACCACCTCTTTCAGATGGGCACAACTGATGCTTCGGAGATATACAGGAGAAAGCTGCCCTTTGCAGAGGATGCAGAGCAGCTCCCCACTCCTCCAAGCAGCAGCAGGCACGGAGCGGCCCACGGCTCCAGCTGGCCCCTCCAGCAGCAGGACCAGCCCGGCTTCGCAGGATACACTCCAGCGGGGCTTTGGAGCCTTCGCCGCTTTGCTGTCTTCTGGCAGTCTTCAGCAGGCAACACTCCACCTTCCTTCTCTGAACAGGACACTGTTCTCATCAGGATTGCATGAGATAATCACAAAGTACAAATCTTTGGTTCTGACAACATTCTGAGAAAATAATGTGGGTTTTTTTGTAGAGGAAGAGGTAATCCATGTTGC